TGATAGAATCCATCCATCAGATCCATGGACGAAAAGATGGTACTCTTTGGCATACCATCTATGATGACGTCCTTCCTCGGTATCGACGTCTGAGCCGGTACCGTTGCAGCATTCAATTTGTTGAATGCGTGCACTACCCGCCACCCTCCTGTGGCCTTTCGCACACAGAAGGTCGGAGAGCTGTGAGGGGATGTTGATTCCCTCACATGGCCCGCTGCTAAGCGATCGGCAAAGAACTTGTCGATCGCTAGTACTTGTTCACGAGGCAGTGGCCACTGCTTCATGACACAGTAATTCGAGCCCGGTCTGAGCTCGATCTCGTGTCGAGTGCCTTTGTCCTTAGGCAACTCGCAAGGTACGGATTAAGGGAACACATCCCTGAATTCGAACAAATCCTTATACAAAGGATTTGCCTGAAGTGACTCCCAGGATTGAGACGTGTATCGCTCAATCCGAGTCTTCTCACCGAGGACACTTTCGTCCATCGATGAGCTGCTGAGAACCCGTTCGTTCTCAGCAAATACTGTCGCCGACCGAATGTCGGCCACATACTCATCCTCTGTGACGAGTATGCAGATCTGCTTGACTTTGCCACTACGCAGATCACGCAAGAACCGTTTCGGTTTTAGCGTTGGCAACTGAGTTATCTCCGAAGTTAACTTCGGAGGCACAATCATATCATGCGTATAAGCGCCTACGCTTGATCCGTCATTGACCAAGACGTTCAACGTCTCGGTTACTTCCTGGGAACTTCTTTCCACAGGTTGCTGAAGGCCTAAACCTTCAATAAGTGACTCTTGAGGAATTCCTTCCTCAAGTACGTGGGGACTTATTTCCTCGATGTCTTCTGACTGTGGCTGTGCAACCACAGTCAGGGACCGATCCTCTACGGTCGACACTCCAGTCGACCTAGGATTTCCATGTTGCCCTTTGGAGGCAACAGGTTTCTTACTTATAAGATGCTGCCCGCTAGGCATGATCCACAGTCTACTAGGGCACGAAGCGACAAATCATTTGTCGCTTCCAACTTCAAGGTGATGAGCGAAACGTCATCACCAAGTGCAGAGACACACAATGATTGTGTATCTGGAGCAACTTTCGTCAAGAGATTTGCAAATTCTCTTGAGGTTGCTGGATCAGTAGGGCGCTCCACCCCTACTGACCCCGACCATTTTTTGATGGCCCATTTCGCTGTTGCGGCTTCGCAACAGCGCTGGACCCACGCCCATTTCCCTTCTTGGCGAATGGTCGTCCATTTCGCTCAGTACTGTTTGGTACTGGGCGTGGAGCACTACACTCGTATGCGTATTGCCCTAACTTCTGACAGCGATTGCACCTCTGCAATCGCTTGTTGTTTGAAGAGCGAAGTCTCTCGCTCTCAACATAGCAGAGGTCCATTGGTTCTGAACCTCCGATCTCTTGTCGTCTTGGTGGACAATAAGAGTTTGAGCTAGCATGAGACTGTCTCATGCGAAAGTCTTCCTGTTCCGCTGCTGATATCGCATCTTCCAGCGTATTCAGCTCAAGGCGGAACAGGTGGCTCCTGACGGGCCCTTCTGCGATCCCTTGCATGAACACCGTAATCAACGTGTGTTCATGGACTGGGTTGGCAGTTATACTACTCGCGAGGAGTCCTATATGTTGTGCGTAAGCGTACACATCACGCTTACCCTGCTTGAGTTTCAAGAGCTCTGAACGAGCCCTGAACTCAGCCCGTGGCGGCTCATACGTTTGTCTGAGCCGGGACTTGAAGTCATCTAGTGACCTAAACACATGTGGGTCGCTACTCTCAATCCTCAGGGACCAAGTTTTGGCACGACCTGACAGCCCTGTCTGTTGAGCACCGAGTTCTCTCAACTGCTCGGCCTGTTGAGAGCCTTGCTGGTGAAGCAAGGCTACTTTCTACCTTTCGACGACAATTTCATTTTGAATGAGCTTGGCTATAGCGGAACGTTGTTGGTCTCTGTCTAGAGACTCCAACATGGGGCTAATGGCGAACTCGCCTACGGTAGAACTCATTCGTTCTACCGCACCCCATTCGATGTCACTCAAATGGGTAAATCCTTCACGAGTGGCGTGAAAGGTCTCTTCATCATCCAACATGTTCATGTTGGATGTTGTGGTCCTTGGAAGGACTACAAAGTGCTACTAGGTGTAACGGGGCACACCCTTGCGTGAACTTAACGCAAGGGTTTCGGAGCGCCCGACAGATGTACACGAGGCAAACGAGGAAGCGTAGATAAGGTAAAAGCAGAACTGTTATATTAATATAATTAAGTCTTTTAAGCACTGTCTCTCTGTTTGACTTAACTTAATTATGCTAATATAACTGAGTGTATGGTGACGTCTCGTCACCACTCATTGCGCGCGTCTAGCGGCGATTGGTGGGTTGATATCATCAAGATATCAACCAATGAACGGACTCTTTGGTCGACCCTTCAATATCACCACTTCGGTGATATTGTTCAAAGAATATTCACTTAATATTCTTTATTGTCATTATCTCTTTAAAGTGACAATTCCATGTAACGGGCTGCCCTGTTACATAGAACGCTTGTGCCACGATAGAGAATTACGTTGAAGCCCTTCGTGAAGATCATTACCATCGAAAGGACGGATTCCAAGCTTTCTCTGTCGCGTTTCTGGTACGTGATCGTACTGAAGTACTGGTGCAAACGTGGTGGTAGCACGCACTGCTGTGGTAGCGCTGGTTAGGACGCTTGCGCCATCTCAATACCGGCTGTCGCATAGACGTATCCAGACTGCTCACACTAAACTAGGTAGAATACGACACCGCTGGGGAAGTCGACGAGGCGGTGGTTCATCTATTGCTTCGCCGCTCATCGGACTTCACTCTCCCAATATCGAGCAAAATACACGTGCATCCTGACCCTTCAAACGCTTCCTCTCTTCGTATCGCTTTTGATTCCCTTCATGCGCTCCATGAGACATGCAAGGAGGTCCAGCAGTTTGCTCTGCGTCTTCTTCGGTGTTTCCTTGACAACCTCTTTATCTCCTCCCTAAGCTACTGACCCTTTCGCAGCCAGCTTTCGCTCCAGGCTGCGCGCGTTGCTCCTCCGCGGCAACGACCTTCACTTGCGGGGCCCACAACCTGTTACTCTTTGCCACGTCTCAAAAATGCCATGAAAATTGAAAGCACTATGGATTACGCCTTCCCCCAACAAGTACAACGTGTTCATCAACAAACCAAACACACACACACAGACACACATGTTCAATGCACACATCGTTTTCCAGCGCCAGTGATCGGCTGACAACATGAGTTTTCCAACTCATTCCAAGAAGCGAAATAGTTGTTCCTTCAAACGACTGAGTTTGCAGACCTGCTCGCTAAATTTTGGTCAACCATCATCAGGAACAGCGACCTCCCGGCTTGGCTCGGTGCTACCTGCCGGACCTTTTTATTCCAGCGACAGACCCAACCGATGTGCAGCTGGGCACAGTGTGCAGCAACAGGCGTCACGCATCCGTTGCCACGTCGTTGTTGACGCAGTCGACTCGTGCGGCGGCTACATCATGTGGATCCGGTCTCGGCCGTTCTGCGTCACAGAGACGCGCACGTTCGTTTACGGCCACGCTCTTGCGACCAGACCAAAGCTGTAGATACCGTCGATCCTTCGACAGAAGCGCAGGGCACCACTTTGCCGAAGCTCGACACGTCCACCAGCAGTAGCAACAACAACAGTAGCAACAACAACAGTAGCAACAACAACGTGGCCGTCTTTCCAGCCGGCCGCTGTCTACCGCAGCGCTGCTGCTGCTCTTCAACAGACACCAACTGATGTGCTGTTTCGGCTCATACGCGTAGCGCGAACGGTCGTTCAACAGGCACTACGTCTTCCCTTCTCTTGGTAGTCGCTCGCTCGCAACGGGTGCATGGCCCGTGTAGCCTTTGCCCGTTCCTGTCCACGAGTTTCGTGACGGCTGCTGCAATGCGATGGGCACAATGAGCGACCGACGGATCGAATGTGGCACCCGCGTCCCACCACTAGCGAACGCTTCATCGGAGCTCGAGCGGCTAATGAGATGAACCGGTCTAGAGCGTCCGATCCATTGTGATGAATGGCGCCCTGCCAACCAGAGCTGACCGATAACTGCAGGTCAAGCAGAGGAATACTACGTCCGAAGACGTTGGCTGCCTTTAGACGCCCGACACAGTCGGCGGTCGTCAATCAGCAGATCATTGGCGCGAGCAAACCGCACGTTTGGTCGGTCGATCGATCTGCCGACGGTCGTGTGGCTTCGCGACGGGTTTGACGGCCGGACGACGACGTGGCACAGCGCGTGCGCACGTTGTCTCAACAATCCAAAGCGGCAGTGGCAGTGGGCTACGAGGCGACACGCGCCTCGGGAATGGGAATCAGCCCACCGCGTGTCCTTTTTGTCCGATGGACGCGCCGTCGCCCGCGAGACGTCTGACCCCTCTGCGGTTGCCGCTGTGTGTGTGTGTGTGTACCCCTTTCGAGCCACCTCCTGCACGGCTGTCCGTCCGTCCACCCGCGACCCCTCTGTGGATAGACCGACAACGGACGCGTGCGTGCGTGTGTGTGTATGTGTGCACGCGCTCACACGGGGCAGGCGAAACTTTCGCTGCTACGATCGTCGGCAACGTCGTCGTCGTCGTCCCGCACCGCTCGGCGGCTCACGACCGATCGGCACGCAAAGCTCCGTAGAGCCCGTGCTTCAAGTTCACGTCGTCGCGCCACGCGCGCCCCTGAACGGCCTTTCTGTGCCGCTCGGCTCGACAAACGCTCCACGCACGGACCGACCTGCTCCCCGAGCGGCAGCAAGTACAGCAGCAGCCGCCGCCGCCGCCGCAGCACCGTCATCACCATCGTCGGCATTTCCAGTCGCCTTTCGGCTGCCGAAGAGCACATGTCTTCAGTTCACATTGTGCTCCACCACGTGCACGCGCTGTCGTTGCCGATCGTGTCGTGGCAGTGGATCGGTATATCCGCTGGCCGAGTTGCACCGCACGAATGACCACCACCACCACCAGCAGCAGCGGCAGTACTACCTGCGCCGACTTTGAGCTCGCCGAGCTGCAAAAGTACTACCACCTGCCGTTGCGGGAAGCGGCGCGGCGACTCGGGAGCTGCGAGGCCGTCGTCAAGCGCGTGTGCCGCCGGAAGCACATCCAGCGATGGCCCTACCGCCAGGTCTCGTCCAAGCTCATCAAGATCCAGCACCTGTGCAAGTACATGGCGCACGTGTCGGACGCGGCGCAGAAGGCGCGTATCCAGCTCAAGATCAAGCAGCTCACGCACGAGTACTTGGAACTGGTCGGGGGGCAGGTGCCGTCCGAGCTGCAACTCACACCCGCCGACGTGCCGACGCTGCCGCCGCCGCGGTACACGAGCGAGACCCCACTGGATGCAGCCGTACTCGCTGCAGCTTCCGAAGATGACAAAGACGACGTTAGCAGTGGCTTTGACGACGACGACGACGAGGACGAAGGACTAAACGAGGGGTCTTTGAGCGAGCAGCACCTGTCGGCCTACTCGCTGCGCTTTATCCTGTCCGACTGCACTGTGCTGGAAACCCACACGGGGCTCCACTACAGCACGAGCGCATAGGCGACGGACCGACCGACTGAATTGCGTTGCAAGTGGACATAGTTGGCGACATGTGCACACCGAATGCCGTCACGACACTACTGCCCTCTCTCTCTCTCTCTCTCTCTCTGCGTATACTACTAGACAGCACCTTCACACGATCACCACTGCACAAGTCCTGTGCAAGACAGATTTCTAATCAAATATTGAGTAAGCTTCCTGCACCTCTCTCTCTCTGTTGGACGTGGAACCCACCAGACCAGCTGAGCCACGCCACCACTTGCTTGAAGCCATCACTTGCTCAGAGCCAGCAGCTCCTCTGTTGAATAATCGCAGCAACCACAACATCTTAGATCTGGTCCAGCGGGTCAATGCCGAGCAGCGCAAAACACGTCTTCATGGTCTTGACCGTGGCGTCGCACAGCAGCAAACGGCTGCTCTGCTCTTCGCTGTTGAGCACACGGCACGCCGTGACAAACGTCTGCACCTTCTCCGAGATCGTGTACAGGTAACTGCACAAGCGATTGGAGTTCAGGTCCTTGTTGATGAACGCAATCACGTCGTGCAGCTGCAGCAGTTCGGTGACCAGCGCTTGCTCCGTCGGGTGCTCGGGCTTCAGCACGTTGCCATCCTTCAGCTGCTGCGCGACGAGTGCCGCCATGTCGACGCCCGACTTTCGAATGATCGAGGACAGACGTGCAAAGGCGAACATGAGGTACACAGCCGTGTCGCCGTTCGTCGACAGCATGCGGTCAAAGCTGAAAATGTAGTTGGACGTGGGGCTCTGACGTAGATCAAAGTACTTGACGGCACCGTACCCGAGCTTTTCGGCCGCAATGTCCACTTGGTCCATAGGCAGCGCCGTCTGTCCCGCCTCGATGCGCTCTATCAGCTGCGCCTTCATGCGGATCTTTGCCTCATCCAGCAGCTCCACGAGGCGCACGACCTCACCCGAGCGAGTCTTGAAGCGCTTGCCCGACTCGTCGTTCACCGTACCGAAGCCAACGTGATCTGCGCGCTGCTTCGTGGGATCGTAGATACCCGACATGCGGCCGACTTCGAGCAGCAGATTGAAATGGTCTTTCTGCGTGTAGTCCGTGTAGTAAATAATGCGGTCCGCTTGCATCTCGTGAAGACGGTACCACAGCGCAGCAATGTCGGTCGTCGCGTACAAGTACGAGCCATCGCTCTTCACGAGCAAGAATGGCTGCTTGTAGATCTTGGTGAACACCACCTCGGCGCCGTCGCTCTCCTCCATGAGACCCTTGGCACGCAGTTGGTCCAGAACACCCGGAATGATCGGGTTGTAGAACGACTCGCCCATTTCCGTGAGCGACACGCCGAGACGGTCGTACACTTTCTGGAACTCACGGCGACTGATGTCACACAAGGTCGTCCAGACCTTGCGAGACTTTTCGTCACCGGACTGCAGTAGCACCACCTGTGCCTTCGAGCGCTCATGGAAGTCTGCATCGGCATCGAAGCGCTCCTTCGCGGCCTTGTACAGCTTTGTGAGGTCCGTGACGTTCGGCATCTCTGTCTCCCAGTTCGGGTACGTCTCCGTGAGGTGGCAAATCAACATGCCAAACTGAGTGCCCCAGTCACCCACGTGGTTGATGCGCTTCACATTATGACCCTGGAACTCGAGGATGCGACACATTGTGTCTCCGATAATCGTGGAGCGCAGGTGCCCCACGTGCATGTCTTTTGCAATGTTCGGCGACGAAAAGTCAATGACAACGGTCTGCTGCTTTTGTGGAGCCGGCTGCACACCGTTCACCAGCACGTTTTGCAATCGCTTGACCACGAAATCGCGCGTCAAGAAAGCGTTGATGAACCCCGCGCCCGCAACGCTGAGACGGTCCAGTACGCGCGTCTCCGGCATCGCGGCAATAATAGCGCTGGCGACAGCCCGCGGCGATTGGGCAGCATGCGGCGTTCCCTTCAGCGCGGTAAAGATAGCCATGGCCGAGTTGCACTGGTAATCGCCAAACTTGGCGTTCTTGACGTTCGTGCGCGTGACCTCTACAGGCGGGACAGCCAGACCAGGGTACGCAGTCTTGACAGCTGCATCAAAGATCGACTCGACGATAGCCAAAATGTTGTGGAACGTCAGACCCTTCTCAAGCTCTTCGTCAAGTTCGAACGTCGACCGCACGACAGCGGTCTCGCCGTCAACAACCAAAGCCGCACCGGCAGCAGCCGCACCAGCAGCGCCGCCACTGCCCTTCTGCAGCGCTCGCTCCATACTCGCGACGCCCAACGCAACGTCCTCACGGGCAAAGAGCTGCGTCACGTATCGTCGATACGTCTCGAGCAGTGGTGGTTCGTTTTGCTGCTCGGTCACGAGCTCAAAAGCAGCGCGCAGCGTGACGCCCACGATTACGTCGGCCAGGGACAGGTCCGAGCCAAAGAGACAGCGCCGGTCCTCCTGGCGCCCACTCTTTCGACCTTCTTCGTCCTTTGCCGCGAGCAGCGCCGTCAACTCCTGCGCCACTTGTTCGCTCGTGTGCAAACGGCCGCGCGACGCGACTGTCTGCAGCCACGGCGCCAGTCGGTTCGCCTCCCACTCGATCCACTCGTCCACGATCAGGTCGTCGCTCTGGAGCTGCTGCGCTGCGGCGGCCACGTAGCGACACACGGCATTGGCGGAAAAGATGCGCTCGTTCTGTGGTTCGACCGCGAGCTGCACGCCGCACGTGGCGTACGAGCGCTGGTCGGCAGGGGCGACGGAGAAGACGGTCTGGGTGAGCGACAGGGTCACGAAGCACTTGAGCTCGTCGTCGCGGGGCGTGTCGCCGATCAGGAGCTGCATGACGGGCACAGCGGGCGGTGGCGCGGCGGCTGAGGGAGTGGCGGGCGGAGGGATCGGATGGCTACGACAGAAGTTAACGGTCTTCGACGACGACAGAAGTTAAAGAGGGGCGCAAAGATGTGTCGTGCAACTGGCTGGACAGGTGAATGGGTCGAGGGAGGAGAGCGGTTTGTATGTGACCTTCGACCACCAGTCCTTCTGTTTCAGTCTATCTAGATTCGAAACCTCGGCGTGTGTCTGTCTCGATCAATCTAAGTATCGAACAGACTGTACATCTATTTTATCTATTGAACGAACTCCCTACCTATTCAATCTATCTACCTATCGAACGAACGAACGAACGACTTATCTATTTATCCTTTATCGCATGTCCCCCTTGATCGATCTTACAGGAAGCAGTAATCGAGCACTGTAAATGAGAAATAAAACGCTTTATCTATCTATCTATCTATCTATCTATCTATTACATCCATTCATCTATTTGTGCAAAAAATACCCACTTTTTCTATCAATCAATCTATCAATCTATCTATCGGTCCGTTGATCTATCTGTCCATCTACATCTCTATCGATCTAATGGCCAGGCGTTCGTCACCCGACAGCGCGCAGCGCAGCGCTGCGGTCCAGCGCCTCTTGGACAGCGCAGACGCGTCGCTGAGTCTGCTCGCGTCTCTCGGCGACGCGCCAATGCACAGCGCGCGCCACGTGCCCGACACGTTGACGGCCCTCCCCGCGCCTGCGTCGTTCGAGCCGTCCTCCACACGGCCCCCCACGACGACCTCCGGCCCTCCCGCCGACGCGTTGTCGCTCGCGTACCCGGTGGTCCGTCCGTCCGCGCTGTCGTCCGACCTGCTGCACGTCAAGGGCGTCTTCCCCGACGCCTCGACCGAGTACGTGGATGTGGACGCTCGCTATACGACGATCGGGGACCTGAAACACGCGCTCTGTGCGCGCAGAGGCTCAGCAACGGACTTGGGCCTTAGTGCACGTGACGCGCGTGTCATGTTTGGTGGGCAGCTCGTGGAGGACGCGTGGCTCGTTGTGGACTGCGGCGTGCGCTGGGAAGGGGCCATTTCGATCGTTCGAGCTGCAGCCGTCGACAAGGACAAGGACAGACAAAGCGCGCTGAATAGCTATAGCAGCTATGGCAATTCTAGCCATGGCACGACTCGACGATCGGACCCGAAGCTGTCGATCTCGTCGATCGCGTCGGTCTATCGACAGGAGCAGCCGCAGTCTTTGTCTATGGCTATGTCGGACGCTACCGACCTCGTGATGACCGAGTTGGCGACGTTTGATCGCTCGCTGGCGATTGACAATGTGCCGTCGACGCAAGGCGTGAGCTTGTTGTCGGCTCGTGTGCGACCGGAAGAAGCGTCGTTTGCCGTGATGGCAGCGGACTTTTACGACAATGTGGCGCAGGTGCAGAACTCAGATCTGTATTGTGCGAAGCTGCTGCGTGGCTACATTACTGTGCTGCAGAATCGACTGGAAAAGCTGGAAGCTGCACTTGCGGACAGTCGGAAAACTGCATCGACCGTAACGCGCGAGAGGCTGCAGAAGGACATGACGGAGTTGCGTGACGAGCGCAACACGTGGCGCTTATTGTTCGAGCTGCGGCAGGTGTGCAGCACACGTAAGCAGAAGGTGGATGAAGAGAACGTGTTGATGGTGCTGGGAGCAGAGAAAGAAGATCTACGGTTTGAGATGCTGGAGGACGACGCCATGTGTTTGTTGGAAAAACAGAGTGAAACGTTCATGGTTCAAATGGCAGTCAAAGCCTGGTTGGAGAGCATGGCGCTGGAGAAGACGATCACCATTAGTGAAAAGCGAGGAACTGCTGGATCGCGTACGTTGACAGTGATGAGAAAACAAGGTTTTGCTGGAGGAAAGGTCCAGCTAGATCCCGATGCAGTGCTGCGCGACGGGGATAATCATGTTCTGCCCGATGACATGGAGGACGAAGCTGAGTTGCTGAAAGCTGTTTGGTTGTATGTTCGTGCGGGGCGGATGGTCGACGCTACTGACTTGTGCATCCGTTTGGGTCAGTCCTGGAGAGCGGCGAGCCTCTCGGGAGGCAATTTGGTTGGTGTTAGCGAACCGAACGAGCGTGATGATCTGCCTCTCGAGCGACGGGGCAATCCGATGCGTGCACTTTGGAAATCAATGTGCTGGCGCTTGTCCGAACAAGCTGCTAACGGGAAACTAACTCAAAGCAAAAGTCTGCTTGCGAAAAAGTACGAGGAGCTTACATATGCGGCGCTGAGTGGTAACATTCAGGTTATTACGGGAAGCCCGCTGTGCGAGAGCTGGGAAGACCACTGTTGGGCATATCTACAGGGCATTACGGAGCGCCAGGTTGACGAGATATTGTTCAAGCTTCTGCAGGTGAAAGCTCAGTCGTCACGGTTGGTTGTTGGCAACGATGGCCGCCATTTACGTCACTTCACTAATTTGCTGGACAAGACGAAGTATTTGAAACGCTATGAACCGGATCTAGATGCACTGTTTGATGAGCTGCGAGGCAGCCAAAGCGAGGTTGTCCGCACGCAGGCCAACCAACCCCACCGCCAAATCCAGGCCAAGTTGGTAACAGGCAAGTTTCAGTACATCGTGTCAAGTGTTTTGGGCTCGCTGCTCTTGCACCCGGGGGACGATTCGTACAACTGGGACTTGCAGTTGACTACGACGGTACGATCCGACGAGTTTTCTTCGATATTTTTGCGCTTTGCCGTCCACTTCATTATGCTCGCCGGCTACACTGGTGAACATTTTGACGAGCGAACGGGTCATATGATTTTGAAGCTGTATATTCGGTATCTGGTACAACATCGCCAGCTGCAGTTTGTGCCAGTCTATGCGTCTCGACTTCCGACTGCAGGTTTGATCGAGGTGTATGTGCAGATGCTGTCTACTGTTGACGATCGACTAGAGCGCGAGCTGTGCATCAAGCAAGTTGCAGAGCACGCCGGTATGGACATCCTGTCAACTGTGCTACAAGCTGTTGTTGAGCGTCTGTGTGAGGAATATCGATCGGTAGCTCAAAAACAGCAAGGCAAGCAGGGTCAACTAGTGTCTTTTGACGTTGCTACAACAGACGTTGACAGGAGGCGTATTCGGGCGATTGAGTTTTTGTGCTTCTTCCCCGAGCACCGAGCGGAGGCGTTGGTCCGTACAAATTTGCTCACACGGCAGTTTCTTTTCGAGGGAAAGTTTGCTGCCCTGAAGGAGCTTGTTGAGGAGAGTCTACCAGAGGACTCTATTGGCGTTATAGATGGGGCCCGTGCCGCCCAATCGCTGCGCACGGGTGACGAGATTGAACAGGCCATGCGCGAATTTCTTTGTTGGCGCGCATATATCCAGGCTTCTGCGCAGTTTGATCTGTGGAGAAGTTGCGTGAGCAGACCTGCTGTGGAGACGCTATCACTCTATAGTGAAGAGGAGGACTACTTGGCGGAATTGATATTCCACGTTTCGCGGTCGACAGCTGCAACGCTGGAGGTGCTGCGCTTTGAAAACGGATGGCTTGTAGGCTGCTCTAGTGATGCCACAGAAGATGCTGCCATCCGAAAGCGTTGTCTGCCGCCCCTCGTGTTCAATTTGCACTTTATACAGCTCGAGTCAGCCAAGACAATCATGCGTTTGGTCCGTTACCCACAGAATGCCAAGGTGGAGCTTGCACGGCCCCTGCTGGAAAAGTCGATCGAGGTCGCTGACGTAGTTGCTGACGAACATTACGGTGTGTACAATACGCTGGACCAGGATAAATGTCGGGATCTGCTGCATGGCTTTCGTGAAAGCGCTATATCGCTGACATTCATTGAAAGTATCGCGACTTCTCCTGACTTGATCAAGAATAAGTGCGGCGGATTACTTTATGAAGGTTAGGACATGTTGGTGAGGCTACGGACACGTGGTCACCGTAATAGCAACGAGAGAGACAAACTGATGGCTTTGTTCGGAATTCTGATGCGAGAGGTGGTCGTTGTTTATCATCACTTCGTGGTGCCGTGGTCGGCCTAGCTGTGCCTAAAATTGTTAGCTTGATTGGCGTCACTAAGGCTGCAGACTCGCGTACAGCTTCACTGGAAGTATAACATGGCTCGGGCATCCTTCCGCATGTTCTGATGGGTACGCATGGACTCGGTGTTCCAGATCTCGTAGAGCCACTTGTCGCCAAACTCGCACACACGGTGCTATTCTGGTATCATGCAGAAGTGCACTCATCATTCTCGTCTTCTCTTCACTAAAATAGCACGTCATGGTGCCGAGTGCCCATTTTCCAGCCACGTAATGTACCCACAACGAGGGCTCATTTCGATACGCGAACAGCGCGTGTTTTTTTTGCACTGTGGTCAGCATCCGGAGCTATAATACATTTGAACACGAATGCGTGGCCGTTGCTGCAGGACAAGGCCAACGATGCTGAACGGGGCGTCACAGTCGTGATAGAATTCTGCGAGCCAGTATGTCAGGTCGTGGGATTTGTATACGTAGCGAGTGATGGGAACGCGACAGTCAGTGTCCCGACGCGCTGGACACGTGAAGGGGAACAACAAGTTTGCTGGACGAGAGAAAAAGTACAAACACTTTGCAGTGGTTGCTAGACGAGATCGAAATCGACTCCAATAATGGCGGAGCTGATCTTCAGAGGTGGGTAAGATGCAGAATGTCGAGGTCAACAGGTACAGAGGTATACTTATTCGTCTCGCTGACTTCAGTGTAGATAGACCATCAGCGCTTGACCTGGGATGATAACGACTTTCAACACTCTGGCTCGTCTGGCAATCCCTTTCCGTCCGCGATGCATAGAACGGATGCATCGTGTACGGTAGACCCCCACCACTTGTTGCGACATAAGGTCCAGTCTGTCCGCAGACGATTGGCATGATCGAGTAAGTATGGCACATTGTCGATCGTTTTTGCTTCGTCTTGTGTCGTTTTGTCACCACTTTCGCCGCCACCTATTGCCCTGGCCGATATGCTTTGCATCAAGAGTCTATCAGATGCTTTACGGCCCTTCCCAAGTTGCGCTTTCGGGCAGTAACGGCCAAGCAAAGTAGACCTTTAACGAGCCGGACCCGTCCAGGTGCGCCAGCAGCAATCGGGGGCGATCAGAGTAGTACGGCGTTTTCCGCGACTTCAGCGCCCTGTTTGCTTCCCGAACCGAAGACCCGATTTCACACGCCTTCTGCAGGGCGTCCGTCCCCCGTGACGCCCGGCGTGTCGGCTCAGCAGACTGAGCCAGCGACGTGGAGACTGAGGCAGTTCAGGTAGCAGCACACACACCGGTATGGAATTGTCAAAAGTACTTCTTCGACGTTGAGCTTCAAAACGAAAATCAGCTTTTCTACGGCCCACTCCCACTTCTGTCCAGTGCTAATATTGTTGATGACGTCACTTGACACGCATCTGTCTCGTGGTCGATTCGACAGACTTCGGATCCGGAAGCAGCCAGTCGAAATGCTTTTCTTGGCCGCGACTACACTTAGATACCTCCAAAGTAATCCCACATTCGACATCAAAGCCACTAGCAATACTGATGCGCCACTCCCCCGCCGCACGGCAAAAATGAATCGAGTCGCTCGATCGATCTCCGCCGTCATGACAACCAGCACCAGGACCCCATTCGCAAAGATACTCGACTTTTTATGCAACGCCCTTCACATGCCTCCTCCCTCATCGTGCATAGACGTACTTTCAGGCCTTCACCATCGTCAGATCCAATCTCACACTAGTTGAGGATGAACTTCAGCGCCATACACAGGCGCGTGTCGGCACGCAATGCCCGAGGCCAGCGAGACGTAGTCGAACAGCCAGCAGTTGTGCGGCACGTCAGCTACCTCGTGGAGGTACAGACGACCAGCGTTGTCAAGGGTCTGTAGACCATACAGATCGTCCTTGTACTCGACCGTGTCTTTCATCGAGACGATCGTTAAGTCTGCAAACTTCGTCTCCACTTCGTCCAACGTCGCAACGGTCGAGTACTTGCCAAGCAAACAGCTTTGCCAGGGTGCTTGAATATCATCCTGAGGCGAGGCGAAGAAGTGAGCAGCCTTGAGCCTGACGAAGTTTGCCTTGCGACGGGTCTGGTCAGCCGCACAGACAGCATCGGTGCCGCACTGTTGTAGGTTGTTTACTTTTGGAATGAACGGGTTAATGCTGAGCCAGTTCACGAGGGCACTTTCGTCCAGAGGAGGACTGATGATGTTTGCAATAGAGCTCCTGGTCTGCAATGCTCCATTTGTCGTCACCAGCTCAATCAGGTCCCGCTGAAACGTGCCGTCTAACAACGTCGAGTTGGTCGCGTACTTGGCAAAGTCAAAGTCCGCCTTGTCGATCGCGAGAGGGCCAAGAGCCTGCAGTAACACCTGAAGAGGAACGGCATCTGATGCCTGCGGACCAAAGAAGTTGCCATTGCCGTCCCCTGCAAGACTGATGAACGAGTGCACGTTGTGGTCGTCCATGTCCTCAATCACACCACGCGCAATCGAGCCGCCTTGCGAGTGGGCCAAGAAATGGTACCCATGAGCGTAGGTAGCCACGTCCTTTGCGATGATGGCGCGAATTTGCTTGATAGCTAATTGCACCTGATCTGGAATAGCCGTGTGGATCGAACACGCGTTCGAGCAAAAGGTGAGGGCGGTGTACGCGCGACCTTCGGCAGTCAAATTGGCCCCAATGTTCGCGCCATTGGTCGAGTTGCCCGTGGCCCCGTGGAAGAAGAAGACAGGTAAGTTGGTGCGACTTGCCGTGTCATCTGCCGCGATTGGCTCGAGAAAAATGACTGCAATGGCAGCAACGAGGAGACGAATGACGTCGACTGAGAACATGAAGAAGACGAGAAGTGGACACGTGAGTCGCTATCGTGTGATCCACAGACGAAATGGATATATGGACTGCGAGTGAATTGGTGGAATTCGACCGAAGCATTGGAAGAGCTTCGGGGTCTCTGATTTTGATCGCAACTTCAAGGCTTAGACGAGCAAAGTGGTCCATGGTCCCTCATCTAGTGATGGGTGCCGGCTTCTTGCTCTGATCGCTAGGTCCAGGGAAGTATGAACACTCGGCATTGCGTCATCAGCTCGTGGTCGTTCGGCGCTGTTCGCAGTGGCAAAAGGTAATTGGAGGGAATGGGCATTACTCACGTTCACTCATCCAGTATGTCAGAGGTCTGTCAGGGGAAATCGTAAAAAAACATAGGTGTTCGCCTAAAAAAACTATGTTACGGTCACGCTATTTTTTTAGTCTTCTTTTATATATCTAAAAAGGTAAAGAAGGTACCAGTTCCTAATAAGCTTTAATAGAAACGTTTCTAAGACAAATAGGACACTTCGCTTTTAGACAACAGACTGCAGTCTTCTGTTGCGAGACGACGGCTCCTGCAACGGCGCAGGTGGGAGGGAGCCAAGGGCGTGACGGTAAAATCTACAGCGACGGAGACTGAACACCCAACCTTGGTATAGCCGACTTGCTATATATGTTTAGTGCTGCTATTGATATCTCTGTATCTATATTTACATTCTTTACACGTTCATTAGCTGCTAATCTGGACTGTTGACGCTCTCCTAAGCATTACGTCGGCAAGGTCATGTCTCCTCGGCATCCTCTATCGGAGTCAACAAAAAATAAACCAACAATGACTTTGTGCAAAAGATTTCTAGTGCGAGCAGAAAGCAGACCAACCCACGCCATATTATTCAATAGTGTGATCGCTCATGCTATATCAAATTCAACATACACACGCGACGCTAGTTAGCCGTGTTGCACAAAACTTATCAGCAGCAGCACATATTACCAACCTGCTAGTTCTTTCTCAAGAGGTAAAGCAGCAATTAAACCATGTTGAAACACGACAATAAACGCCGATGGGAGATAAGACGGCTGGGGCTAGCGTGAACTTGAGTATACCGGTGTCGTACACTGAAGTCTCCTTGACAACACATCACATTTAGCTCAAATATCGATGGTATTTATTCCACACAGCATCGAAATTATCTGATGCATTGCGTCAAGACAAGACGCAAGCAATGCCGGGTTGATAGCGTACACCGCAAGTCGCATCAAGACGTTTTAGAAACTTGTCCGTGTGGTCTTCGCTCTGCTTGATCATGAAAAGCTTCGACATTCGAGTCAAGCGACGGCATCAGATCCGCCTTTATAAACATTAAATCTATCATGGTGAACAAGATCGTTCCATGCACCCTGCAACCATTGCCACAACATTGTTTCACCAGCAGTCAATTCTCATACATCATTGTTTCTTACGCACATCCACGTACCTGGACACTACTGGTAGTAAAAACTTGGCACCAGCTAAATAGTTGCCAAACTCCCAGAATGCAACACTAGCGTAGGTCTGCACAACATCAGCAACAACGATAAATAGGAAAATACCAGCAATGGCAATATACAGAACAAAATATGGTTTAGTCTGTTAGTCACTCAATCATCAGCCACATCTATTAAGCCCAGTTTATCTCTCTCTTTTTTTCGTATTGCTTCGGGTATGGTTCCACTCACTGCAATGGCCCTTCCCCCGTATGCTTCCATTGTATACTCAGGTGTTTGGTGGACGATCTTTGGATACGGCAAGAGAGACGACCGAGAAAGAGAAGTGCATGAGCAATATAGATGAATGCGCCGTGACACATTCGACGTTACGGCATGCACGTGTGGCAATTGCTGAGCGTGTGTAAGGTCAGTGCTTTGAGCAAGTTATCAGCAAATCGGGACTGCAGTCCGTGTAAAAAGCGGAGAGTCCTACTTGTCTTGAAAACGTTTCTATTGAAGTTTAATAGAACGTGGTGTTTTCTTTACCTTTTTCTGATATATGTTAAATTAGGCTAATGGAAAGCCTAACCGTAGCACAGTTTTTTTATAGGCAAAAACCTATGTTTTTATGGTTTCCCGTCTGTCAGACAATTGATGGCACCGTAGGATGGCAGAGAAATTGCTTTTCCCTATACATAAGGCTACGATGTATATATATAGTAATACATAGAAGTGCTCGCTCGATTAATCCAGACGATGTGACTGGCGGCTATTTGACAACTGAATTATCCAGTCGAGCTCTGAAGATGTCATTTGCGAAAGAATGAGAGGAAGTTCGCGAGGTAAAATTTAGGCAGAGCAATTTAATTAAAGCCGAACAAAATACAATACAAAATCAAATGGATAGAATTATGGTTATGATAAAACTATAAATAAAATTTCCAGTGAGTAAATATAACTTATTTTGATCGTTCTTATTATGCACTTTGAAGTGTATATATACCATTGATTATTTTTATAGCTTTATAAATAGATCAGAATACCCTTTGGTTTACGAATGCTTTTTCATCACTAATGATCTATTCATTACAAATTAGCTTACACTAAAATCCATTTCTAGATACAATAACCTACTAGAATATCTGCTGAATAATTCTTGCGTGTCCGTTACTTTTATTATACCTAATAAAAAGAAAGGTACATATATGGACCAGCATCAACGCATGTCCCAAATAGATGACTATTTAATTAGTTGCAAGGTTATTTTGGCCGATATGCGCGGTCAAGAACGTGATTGAGTGTGCGGAAACTCGTCCTGCAAGGCAAGCAGCGTGAATATGGGTAAGCCCATTTTATGAAACTGACATTTACAAATGCCAATGTCGTACTATATGTACCGATGATTGCTTATAAATTAGTCCAAAACGTATATGTCAGTGACTTCTGCATACATAGGCCAAATCGTTTACAAGCGAATACACCGCAGTCGCCCCATTACACGGCATTGGTCTTCATCACGTTACGGGTAAAAAGCGGTGAATGATACATATAATTAATATTCAAGTGTTATCTGCTGGAATTAAAATACATGTCAGATACCTGTTGGACCTTGAAGGAACTGAGACGCGGACAATAGCAGCTTGTTTTATGAGAACAGGACGTTGTTACAGCTATCACTGGTAAGTTCATAATGTGGACAAGGTGACCACCTTTAGGAAAGGAGAGATAACCAGTCGATACCACCCCAACTACTTAATCATCATTTCACCTTCACGTGCACAAGTGTATCAGGTCGGATATACACTCTAACATGTTCATGAGCCCAAAACTGATGAAGTATACGTGTGAAGGGGTGCCGAAATATTGGGAAGGAAATGATGGCAGACATATAAACGGGCGATGATAACTTTGTATAAGAAGGGCGACCTTACAAGATATTGCAGTTGGTCACCCGACGAAGACAATTCGTGCTACTGCTAGCACAGAAAAGCGCGAATAATCTTTACAAAACAGATTAAGATCACGCGAATAATTGATAAGACGGTGCATCCGGAAGTTCTTCAGCAAATACGTGACAAGGAGACCGAATCGGATATGTGAAAAGGACTTTGCAAAATGCACGAAGGAAAGCAGAGCGAATCAATCAGGGCATATACGATTCGTCTGGGGAAAATGAGATAAAAAAACTGATCTAACACCTGAAGGAGATATAAGCCTCCATATGTACAACATGTTTAGCCACAAAAGGAATTCAGAATCTGACGCACACTGCATAATATAATTCTATGGTTGACATGCTGCTATAACGCTTGACAAATCAGATCGAGTTTGAGCGCTCAAAGCTCTCCATCTATTGTGGTACAGATCCGAGTAAATATATAGCAGCTCTAGTTCGTGAGATGATTCTTTCCGCATCCACCGGCCAAAAAGTTATCGAAGCAAGCGTTGTAAAAAAGTAAAGGTGGGTTTTGCAATTAATTTACAAATTTGGTGTGGGAAGAGTTGGATAGCCCAGAATAGTGCTCGTGAATCAAGCAAAATCCGTTTACGTATTACGTGAGCAGAAGAAACAAGCATTCGAAAAATAGCTGTCCCCAGAAATTACATAATCCTTATAGATCTGGTATGTCAGGCCAGATGTAAATTCTGCTTGTAAACTTCACAATATGGCAGAAAGAACACGTAGCTCGTGGTAGAGTTGCATCTATCCAAGTGAGCCCAGAGAATGAGGGTGTGGCTACGATACGAGGTCTGAAGCACCGAGCGACGTATAAAAACGCCGCATGGGCATCATGGTTGTGGTAATAAAATATATAACTGAAAAGGCAGAAGATGTGACCGACGTCGAGTACAAAAATGCTGTGGAATAGAGCATAAACGTGGTATTGTGACACTGCATGAGATCTACACGCTACCGGAAAGAGAGCGCACTTTTGCCGTTCTAAAGTGGGATAAATTGTGCAGAGCATACATGGCGTAGCGCCAAAAAATTGGATCACATATTGCTGGTATGGAGACCATTGGATTAGATCCCGAAGTGCGAGGGATTTCGTTGGCAATGTTGATAGCGTATTGTATATCCGCAAGTAGATTATGGTGTATTCTCTCCGGGCCTCGCATTTCGCCAGTTTTCACGTTTAAATTTGATCACACTTCGCAATTTTTTGTCTTATTGGAAGACCGGGTGGAGGCTGTGGCTAAACCGCTACTTGGAGGCTCCAAGTGCCTTTTTCATCCCTGCGACATGATTATTTTCCACAGAGTAAAGTGCTGTGCAACTACACGATGAACGAAGGAGTAAGATCAGAAAATTGGGGCATGAGAGACTGTTCCATACCTGTTCATAGTATCTAGAATCCATAGTGGATTAAGGAATGGTACGAGGCATGATAATTACAAAACGACAGCAATGCACGTGCTATGCGTGTCACATAGATTAGCTATAGCGATAAACTCATGTGAAGAAGCTTTATTGCGTGACAAACGAGCCGAATCAAGTAATATATGCGGATTTACAATACCGATATGCGACTAAAAATTTGGCAGTGCTGGCGGTTAT